GCAAATAGGCTTTAATAATCAGTGTGTGACATTAGATCGTAATGCAAAGAACACGATTTTTTGCATTAAAGATGTCGGGTTTTGTATAAAAAAAAGAACGTTTGTGGGAAGCATTACTTTTCTGCTTTCATCTCAAGAAATCTACTGACGAAAGTCGTCGTTTGCTAATGGAGGTTTATGGAGAGCATGCTTTATTTGAAACAACTTGCAAAAATTGGTTTAGATGATTTAAAGACAACGATTTTAACGCGAATGACAAAGAGCGCCCTGAATTGCTGCTTCAAAGATAAAAAACGAAAATCGTTTTTGCATCGAATTGTGATTAGCGATGAAAAATGGATTCTTTCCGACAATCCCAAGCGCAAGAAATCACGGGTATGTCCCGGCGAACTATCAACATCAACGCCAAAACAACATATTCATGGAAAGAAGGTCATGTTATTTGGTGAGATCAAATCGGTGTAGCGCATCATGAGTTGCTGCAACTGAGTCAAACTATCAATGCTGAACGCTACCGACGACAATTATTCAATTTGAATCGAACACTTAAACAAAAACGCCCGCAATACGCCAAAAGGTATGACAAAATTATTCTTCTCTATAACAATGTTAGACCACATGTTGCAACACTAGTGAAAGAAATCTTGAAGGCACTTGGATGGAATGTCTTACCCCACCCGCCCTATTCACCAGATATTGTTTCTTCAGATTACCACTTGTTTCGGTCGATGCAGCATGACCTTTCTGAGCAGCGCTTCAGTTCTTTCAAAGATATCAAAAAATGGCTCGATGACTGGATCGCCCCGAAAGAACCTGAATTTTTCTACCGCGGAATCAATATTTTACTCGAAGAGTGGGGAAAGGTTGTAGCTTTCGAAGGACAATATTTTTTAATAAGATATGATGTACCGTTCTTTTGAAATAAACATTAAATTTTGTAGCAAAAAATAGCGAGAATTTATTCAAGCACCTAATATACCAGGTGTAGAAGTATGAAACCGGAATTTCCCTATAGATGGTGCTAGCCATCAGTTTAGGGACCGTAAGACCGCTTCTGCAGCGCCATCATCTCCCTCTAACAGCTGACGAAGATTTTCAACACACAACAACCCAAGTTCCATACACCGGTATATTTTTCTATAACCTTAAACATGTCGAGTTTTGTGCCTACGAACTACGATTTGCGGACAGCATTGGTTTTTTGTTATCATTTGAAGAAAACTGCTGCAGAATCGCATCGAATGCTTGTCGAAGCTTACGGTGAACATGCTCTTGGTAAAACACAGTGTTTCGAGTGGTTCAAAAAATTCAAAAGTGGTGATTTTGACGTGAGAAACGAAGAGCGTGGGAAACCACCGAAAAAGTTCGCAGACAACGAATTGCAAGCCTTATTGGATGAAGATGATACTCAAACTCAACAAGAACTCGCGAATAAATTGAATGTGACGCAGAAAGTTACCCCAATTCGTTTGAAAGCCATGATTCAGAAAGTGGGAAAATGGGTTTCGCATGAACTGAATGAAAGACAGCAAGAAAATCGAAAAACCACTTGTGAAATGCTGCTCGACAGATACAAAAGAAAGTCCATCGTATCATGACAGGTGATGAAAAATGGATATATTTTGAGAATCCTAAGCGTCAGAAATCATGGGTGAATCCAGGCGAACCATCGACATCCACTGCAATCGCTTTGGAAAGAAGACAATGCTCTGTGTTTGGTGGGATCAGAAGGGTGTAATCTATTATGAGCTGCTAAAACCTGGTGAAACCGTTAACACTGATCGCTACCAACAGCAAATGATTGATATAAATCGCGTGAAAAACGACCGGAATATGGAAAAAGGCAACACAAAGTCATTTTGCTCCATGATAATGCCCCATCACACACAGCAAAACGGGTCAGGGAAACGATCGAGGCGTTCAGTTGGGAAATACTAACACATGCGGCTTATTCTCCAGACTTGGCTCCGTCCGATTATCATCTATTCGCATCAATGGGACACGCTCTCGCTGAACAACGCTTCAATTCGTATAAAAATGTACGAAAATGGCTCGATAGCTGGTTCGCTTCAAAAGAAGAAATGTTTTTTTGGCGTGGCATTCATAAACTGCCGGAGAGGTGGGAAAAATGTATAAATAGTAATGGACATTATTTTGAATAAAATATTTTTTATTATTTTCAAACAACAGACGTGTAATTTTAACAAAAAAATTCCGGTTTCATTCTTCTACACCTGGTAACCAAATGGGAAGTCAGACAATTATTTCGAGTATAGATCGATTAAAATAATCAACAAATCAGTTCGTAATTAAGTCGCTGTCCTGCAGGTACATCGAGTTAATCCGATAAATCCGAGGGAACTGTGCCCCAGTTAGATGTGGGGTTTTTTGAGAAGACACGCTCGTTTCTTGCATTGTAGGAGGATCAGCACTCTGCACTTAATCTTTTACAACTTGTTCTGAGATAAGAAAAAACCAAATAATCTGAGTTATACTTGATCTTTTAAATCTTCTGTGAGCTATCCTTTTAGCCTTTGTAAAATAAATAAGATCCCTGGAGAACCGGGCTGAATATAAGTATTGCATAACATGACAAAAGTAAAGATCGCGAAATTCATGCAACAGGTTAATCGCTGCATCAACAGTGACTTCCGCGAAGACTTTATCCTTGTTTATGCTACGTAAATAATTGTTAATAGCGATACAATCTTCACGTTCAAAACATTGCTTCATTAGTGATGTTGAAAGAGGACTGAGAAGTCTTCTAAGACTAAGTAGCCAAAGGCAAAGTAAGAGTAGCTTAGAGCTAGTGCAAGTCACAGGATACAAGGGGATCAGGAAAGGCAGACACTGAGATATTTTGGAAGAAAGAAAAAACAAGGTCCAGAGAGTAATTTGATGTATTGGCAATTGAGTTAAATTGATGGAGGTTAAACATATTAAAATAATCGCAAAGCAAAGAAGCATGTTCCAACAATAAATCACCAGCCTGTTTAAGTTAGGTGGAATATATATGGAGATAACAATAACAGTATAATAACTCATCTTAATCTCAACAAACATCTGTTCTACATAAGAGATCGGCAATACAATAGGACGGCTAATCAAAATATCACGAACGACAACCAAAATACCACCACGATGATTGCTGGTCTGAATATTCATATCATAATGAAAAGTTCTATAATTGTGTAGTCCAAGTTCTGCATCATGAATGTCTGAGTTTAGCCAAGTTTCAGTTAAAATAATAATATCAAGCTTTTCAGGTAGCGTAGCGAGTGTGCATCTCAAATCAGGTAGTTTTGTTTTTAGTCCTTTTACATTTTGATCCAACACTAAAGAGCAATATTCACGTTTTTTATACTTGTATTAGGGCGGATATTAATAATTTTAGGAAAGCCATTAAAAAACTGAATAGTCTTATTAGAAACTCCCGAATCATTAAAAAACTTTAGTTGATTTTTCACCTCCTGGAAATATTTCTTTTGTTTCTTCATTAAATCTTGTCGGATTTTAATTAGTCCTTTTTCTCTTCAGAATTGCTTATTTTCTCTTCAGAGTTTCAAAAATGTCTTCTCTATTTGGAAATATGACATATAGGGGTCTAATATATCTAGTAGTTTTTTTCCTTAACCTCCGGATCTTTAAAATTTACCTTTAAGATTAGGAATAATTGGACGAATTATTTTAACAATTTATCTTACTACTGATAAATCATCAGCCTCAGACCCACATCCAGTAGCCACTATCTCTGATTTCTTAAGGACACAAAATAAATTAGATGATCTTCTTTTTCTCTCACCAAGTTCAACGAAAACGTTCTCATCCGCTTCCGTAAATGATGTAGGTGATATAGAATTAAACTTCAATCTTATTAATTCTTTTATTCAAGCCATTTATTTCCAATCGAATTTTTTCTAGACCAACAAGATACCTAGTTTTGATCTCTTCTCGGAAGGAGGCAAATTAGAATCGAATATCCCTGATCTTAAATAAAATATTCAAGGAATTGCCATATAAAACCAGAGTTCAGAAACTTATTACCATGGAAGGGACGATCCGTGCGTCCAAGACAAACAGGATGGGACATTGCCCCACAGGTTTCACAAATAATAGGTTTAGCAACTGACGTGCTGCATTCCCTATAAAGTTTTGCCCATCTATTTAAAACTGTAGGCAAGGAATAGTAAGTCTAGAAATCTCTCAGAGGTGGTCGAAGAAGATCAAAGATGATCGAACAGTAGATATATCCAATGTAAACAAACACGTTTGCTTTCAACGACTGCTACACAACGACGAAGACAACGATTAAGAAATATAAATCTAAAGAATCAATTGAGTCCATCCAGAATTTCCTCCATTTAATTATGGTCAAACGAGAAATTTTGCTTGCGTTGAATTCACGTCATAGCGTAGATATATATATTAAGCTTTGGCCCTTAAATTTCCGCTTTGCGCGGGCACTTGACCTATCTACTATCGTGTCTCTTGCTTTTCGTGTATTTTGTAATCCTTTCTGTAATTTTTATAATCCCTGTTTTTAAACCTTATTCTTTTTGAATTCATAAAGTATATAGCTATTAGTATGGAATAATTCTATATGAATATATGAAGAAGTTCTCAGAAATTACAATCATGGTGTATGTAATTTCCTGAATCATTTTTATAGTATTTTTCTACAAAAAGAATTAAAATTCAGAAGAGAAAATTTCAAAAATACTTTAAAAATTCACCGTACTTCTGAGTAATTTTAGTCTGTTTATGTAAATATAGATTACGAGTGTTATTAATGTTAAATTGTCAATAAACCGGTTTTAGGTTGCCGTGTAAATATATACACTTTGACACATATAGTTCTCATTTATTAGAATAATCAATAAATAAATCAATAATATATGATTCGAAAATTCTAATAATCTAGTTGCATTATATGTTAAGGCTATTACGTCAGCCTACGTATGTACTTAAGTTAGTAGTTTTTATTATAAATACATGTAGACATGTTAGTTATACGACGTATAAATAATAATATAAATAAATGTTGAACGATATGTGAAATTCCCAGACACAAGATATATTGTTACATATCGTTGGACATGCAACATTTGAGAGTTTGATAAGACATTATCAATAATAGCTGTATCTGACCGTACATCCTGTGTGATGACTGAAATACTTAGTACGTCATCAACGCGAGTTCCTTTATTATCACGGAAACAAAATATAGGCGTATACATTCTATGCCCAGCGTGCTTGATGCGTGCAATCATTTGTTAGCTAAAACCGCAATTATTTTCAGAGAAGTGCGTGCAATTCAGAAGCGTTATGTTATGATGATGAAATAATTATGTTCATTTCACTGTCTGAGTTCTCTTGACGAAAAATTTCGAATTTGTGCGGCTGTGACCATCTGTTTTTACCACGAAACAACGGGTGCCAGGCACAATAATAACAGGAATGGAAATCAACGCAAACATTAGCGAAATATTACGTGGTACGTAAAATAATTACAGAATACATTTTGTGAAAAGTTTTTCCATACGTTTCATTTATTTAAATTTGCTTTTTTATACGTTTAAAAAAAGAACTTTTTTAAACCGATAGTTTAATACGGGTGTAAATATAATTGTATACTAAATCATTTTCATTTCAGTAATGTATGTAAACGATGATACAGTAGATTTATCCGAATATCGCGATGTTTCTATAAATTAGATTTATATAATGTGTGTGTGTGTGTGTGTGTGTGAGAGAGAGAGAGAGAGAGAGAGAGATTGCGACATTCCTCGTATAACACGATAAAGTTCTAATTTCTGGGTCTATATTTTAAATTTTCTTATATTAAATGTACCACTAATGTGTCTTAAATGACGTGGTAAATGCGACGATATTTTGAAAGACATTTATCGAAATTGTAAGAGTAGGCGTCAGTTTTTCCTTAAAAAATATATTGCAAAAATACTATTTCAAAATACTATTTCAAAAATATAAGCGAAAATACTATTTCACAGTTATATTTATAGCCTTTTCAATATTTTTGGCTTTATTCAATATTTCTAACATCTTTTTTAAAAAGATATTCTTGCGCAAAATTATGTTAGTACATATTTAAATTGAAATAAAAAATTTGGATATTATAGTATTAACACGTTCACGCCGGCGTGCATCACCGGTGGGTCACGCTCGACTGTCCCATCTGGCGGCGTGCATCACCGGTGGGTCACACGATACTGAGCCATTGGGCGGCGTGCGTCACCGGTGGGTCACGCTTAAACATTCGTTTAGACGCCGCTTACCATCAAAAATATAGTTCGTTTAGTAACTGGAAAAAATTGCCGTATAATTGAAAATTTAAATAATTTAAATTTGAATGGCGCCGCCAGATGAAGCGCAGCATGAATTCAAGCGCCGCCTCACAGCGAAAAACATGAAAATCGGCGTGAACGTGTTAAAGCTACATTTTATGTCTTTCACAAATATGACTTTTTATAAGATCCATGGATAATCCATATGACTTATATAATGCAAATACAGAGAATATGGGAAATGATCCTTACATTATACAGGGGTTATACTGTATATTGACACGCATTATTAATCGCGCGAGTTGTGTAATGTTAAAATTTGAGAATCGTTTATTCTTTTGTAACTTGTAACATAATTAATTTTTAAAGCTAATTTTTTAAAATTAATATCTCGATAATGATCGTGACTGGTTACAAAAAGTAAAAAGGTTTCTGTTTATTTTGATCAGTTCTATATGTACACAAAGAAATGAATGCGTTTTGTCAAACACGTTGTATATCATATCTTAAATCTGCCCAAATTCAACTCTGTTTCACGCGAATTTTAACCGCGGGTATTCTGTTAACAGAAATGATAACATTCCTGGAATGCCTTCGGGATGCGCAACTGCCACTCGCCCTGGAAAGTCTTCGGGAAAAGTTGCTGGATCGCACAAAGAACACCATGCTCGCCACTACGATGAACTGCTCATCTCCAGAGCCTTATTTAGATATGAATTCCGGCCCGAGAACCATACTACTCACAAAAAAAAAGACTGACACGGAGGAGTACATAGGCATGGAAGAATCTCCGCAGAAGCAGAATCATCAAGATTACTATGAGACATTCGAGCCAAAGGAGATGATGCCGGTTACAATCAAGCACACGGAATCGCAAAAAGCTTGGAGCGAACAAGATTATGGAGAGAATAGCCAGGTGTTAATGAGCATTTATAAGAATCTATCGGCAGCGCAATGCAAAAATAACTCTCACAAGTGCGGCCCGCTTCACTGGAAGAATGGCAAGATATTCAGTGAGAGACGCCCCTACTATGTCGCGTTGATCGGGACACACCTGTTGATCTACCGCAGCGAGCAGCACAGTGGACCTTGTAATATCTATTCGATTCGCGGCTGCATTGCGCGATCGAATCTATCGCCGAATCTATCGCCGCGCAATGGGCAAAAAAGTAAGTCGGCCTTCGAGATCTGTTGTCCCGGCAGCAAAACTTTGCAGTTTATTGCGAGAACGCCGAAGGATATGGAACAATGGACAGCGAAGATCTGTGAAGTCGGTTGCAATAATGAAGGCGCAAAAATTGATGAAGAGACGAACCATGGGAGCAAGAGCAATGCGAGCAGCGAGTCTCCGATGAATCATTGCAAAGACCACGCAATGTCCCCTCTACATCAAAACGCCCATAAATTAGCTGACAACGTCAAAAAGAAGTCGACAGCCAAGGGGGAGGCGAAAAATAACAGGAACGAAGCTGAGAAGAACATGATTGAAAACCCGCCACCGCTACCTGCTCGAATACCGCGAAGAATATTACCTTCTGTACCTTCCAACGATTCTATGCCTTCTTATAGGGGCACCGAAGATTACGATGATGACGATGACACTTATTATAAAATCGAAGACTTGCAAAATGGATTAGCTTATCAGAATATAACGTTAGCGAAGAAGCAACACGTTAACGTTGGTGATAAGGAAGATAGAGAGGTTGTCGAGTACGATGATGTGCATGCATCCAAAAGAAAAAAGGAAGAACAGGTGCACGAAGGGAAGTCCGATAAAATATTTATAGAGGAGGAAATGTACGATGATATCTTTACATTGTCGCGCGTCAAAACAAACATCGAAGAAGAAACATCAAAGAACGGTGATTGTTCTGACGACGGAGAAGAATCTTTTTACGACGACGTAGAGGTGAGTGTGTGCTTTGATGATGAAATCAATTTTGGAAAAAGTAGCAGATCTTAAATATACGCTCCCTCTCGTCCAAATAATATTAAAATATGAAAATAAAATAGCATTGTTAAAATTTACATTTATCAGAAAAGAATTGATACTAAAGCCAACTAAAAAAGCCAATAAGAACTTAACATTAGAACAACTAAGGGGAGTCAGAGTGACTTGTTTGGCATTTCTTATAATCATTACTCATTTTCAGTACATTTTGTTTTCTAACATTTTGTATGACTTTTTCTAAAATATATAAATAATTAATTCTGTAAAGCAGTTTTCTTTTTTCTTGTCTTTTTGTTATAGAATTTTACGTAGTATACATACATATACCGAGATGAGTCATTTTGACCTCCACGGAACGTAGATAAACTTGTAATTTTTTCTTTCTTCTTTTACTTTCTTCATCTTTTTACGTGACTGTAATAATATCTTCGCTTGTTTGAAAAACATGTGACGCTTGAATATGTCGCTATTCTTCTGCTCTTGTATCATAGAAAGTATTTCGCATTCAGTTAGTGTTACGTCCCGAACGCGGATGTTGAATTATTGAAAGACACGGAATCGCGCCGCGAACGCGAGGCTTTGTGTGGAGTATAAATGTCCTTTTTGGGTCAATGGATTTAACCAATTTACCCTGGGATGGACGAGGCTGTGTGAATGCTGTTGTGGATATGGATGAGCGCGTATATGCGTGTGTGTGATGTAAGATTGAAGGAGGTTAATAGATAAAAGAGTCACAAGAATTAAATTTATTTACATTTGAGACTTTGTTCTGAGTTAAGTCGTACTCGAAGTAGAAGCCGAGAGAGAGAGTCGCGAGGGCGAGCTTTTGCTCGGCTTCCCGCGTCACCTTTTATACCAGGTGTAGAAGTATGAAACCGGAATTTCCCTGGTGGTAGCCATCAGTTTAGGGACTGTAAAACCGCTTCTGCAGCGCCATCATCTCCCTCTAACAGCTGACGAAGATTTTCAACACACAACAACCCAAGTTCCATACACCGGTATATTTTTCTATAACCTTAAACATGTCGAGTTTTGTGCCTACGAACTACGATTTGCGGACAGCATTGGTTTTTTGTTATCATTTGAAGAAAACTGCTGCGCATCGAATGCTTGTCGAAGCTTACGGTGAACATGCTCTTGGTAAAACACAGTGTTTCGAGTGGTTGAAAAAATTCGAAAGTGGTGGTTTTGACGTGAGAAACGAAGAGCGTGGGAAACCAGCGAAAAAGTTCGCAGACAACGAATTGCAAGCTTTATTGGATGAAGATGATACTCAAATTCAACAAGAACTCGCGGATGAATTGAATGTGACGCAGAAAGCTGTCTCAATTCGTTTGAAAGCCATGGGAAAGATTCAGAAAGTGGGANTTGGCGTGGCATTCATAAACTGCCGGAGAGGTGGGAAAAATGTATAAATAGTAATGGACATTATTTTGAATAAAATATTTTTATCATTTTCAAACAACAGATGTGTAATTTTAACAAAAAAATTCCGGTTTCATACTTCTACACCTGGTAGATAGGTGATGAGACAACCCCGCGCAGGTTCCTCATTACCCAATCAGGGGTAAGGTGCATCTTATGCCATCAAAAATGAGTCAAATGGGTTTTTCTTGCGATTCATTAGAACTGTTATTCTTTCAGCGTTATTGCTGCTGATTACTTCATCCGTAGCGATGATCTGATATCTCGGGGTATCCCTACCCAGAAGATGTCGTTTGACACTCGATATTCTTTCGGCGCTATTGCTGCCGATTGCTTCATCCGAAGCAATGATCTAATACCTCGGGGTATCCCTAACCAGAAGATATTGGTTAACACGCAAATGGCTGCATGAGCGAGTAGACTAGATATTCGATGGCGAATTATAATTTAGTGCAAGAAAGATTGTTTGGCGTGCAAAACGTTACGCGAACGTAACATTAGAAAGAAACGTTTACAAAAAACGTTATTTTGTGCCATAATACTTAAAAAAAATCGGAACTCTATATCGTGATCTGCAGAAATATTTTAACCCATAAAATTACTTAGAAACTATGGTAACATTTTCACGAAGCAGTAAATTACTGAAAAAAATAAATAACTTGGAACAAAATTGTTCTGATTCCGACTATGATGAAAGTGAACCAGTAGATTGTGAAAATGATTATCCACCTTCATATAACGAAAGTACAAGCGAGTCATCCGATACTGACAGTGAAGATGAAAGATTTTGACGTTTACAAAAAAAAAAATAAAAAAAGTGAAAGTTTTCTCTAATTTTGATAATGAAAGTAGTCAGGATGTTGAAATGTCTGTAATAGATCATGATACTGAAATATCTATTGACGGCATTGTGTGGAAAAAAACAGCAAAAAGACTCAACGCCAGGAAGATTACCATTGCCCAACATTTTCAAAGAAGTGTCAGGACCAACGGAATTTGCGAAACGATATATTATGAGTAGTAGTGTAAGAACAGCATTTTTTTAAATACTTTGCAATAGTGTTATGAGACACATAAAAACTTGCACCGAAGCAGAAGCCCGTTGAATTCTGTATAACGACTGGATTCTATTGTTAGCAGAGTTGAATCCATTTATAGCAACTTTATATGCCCGTGGGGCATACGAAACAAAGAATTTAAGACTTTCATATTTATGGTCCTAAATATAGGGATCTGAATTTTTCTCAAAAACAATGAGCAGAAATAAATTCGCCGGAATTCGTCGGGTAATTCGTTTTGATAGGAAAAATGAAAGAAGCCAACGATTGAAAACAGATAAATTTGCATTAATTTCGGAAATGTGGAATAAATTTGTTGAAAATAGCCAAATGTATTATAAATCGGGAGCTGCTATTACAGTTGATGAACAATTATTCCCGACCAAAATCATATTTAGATTTACTCAGTATAACAAAAAAACCGAATAAGTTTGGTATAAAATTCTGGTTGGCGTCGGATATAAAAAGTAAATATGTTGTGAATGCATTTTCCTACTTAGGAAAAGACGAAATGAGACTATCTGTATCTTTGGAGGAATTTGTCCTAAAACTTATGGAACCATATAATGGTTGCGGGAGAACAGTGACAACAGATAATTTCTTTACAAGTTTGTCATTAGTAACTAAACTGACAACTAAAACAACTTCTTTAGTGGGCACTATTAGACAAAACAAGAGAGAATTGTTTAAACTTGTTTAAATTAAAAAAGGATAATATGCTTCGCTTTTCGACAATTCTTTATAAAACAGAAAATTGTATTCTTACTATATATAAGAGTAAACCAAATAAAAAAGTATTGTTATTGAGTTTGAAACATAAGTCTGTTAAAATTGGAAAAGATGGTAAACGTTTGCCTGAAACTGTGACATTTTATAACAACACCAAATTTGGCGTAGATATGACAGAAATGGCCAGGAAATATACTGTGAAAGCTGGATCCCAAAGATGGCCATTACAAGTATTTTATAATATCTTAGATCTTGCTGGAATAAATGCCAGGATATTATACAAAGAAACAACGCGAGAAAATATTTCAAGAAAAGACTTCTCATTTCAATTAGCCAAAGAACTTGCAGATGACTACAAAGATCTAACCGGACGATCTTCATTAAAAATATTGGGAATACAAATTAGTTCGGTCCGTTTTTTGTGGTCAAAAATGCATTTATTTCAGAACAAAATGAATGAACAGATTAATCAAAGTATTGTCTATCGCTGGCTACTACTTTTTTTCATATCTCAGGTAATTTTCGAATTCCATCTCGAAAAAATGTCTCGTCTTTTGAGGCGATCCAAGTTAGGAGCCAATTTTCTATTTCTGCGAAAGAAGTGAACCGGTGACCTGCCAAATTGTGCTGCATCCGTCGGAACAACCAGTAATCAGAAGGAGCAATGTCCGGCAAATACGGCGGGTGTGGTAAAATATCCCACTTGAGCGTTTCCAAATAATTTTTTACAACTTTTGCGACATGAGGCCGAGCGTTATCATGCAGAAGAATAACTTGGCACCCAATTGCCTTGCTTGTGAATCATTCCCATGGATTTCAGTCGCACGGAAACTGCTTGTTGCGTAATTCCCAATGATTCTGCAAGCTCCTCTTGCGTTTGACTTGGATCTTTATCTTTATCGAGTAATGCCTCCAATTCTTTGTCTTCGAATTTTTTGGCTGTCCAGAGCGAGGTTTGTCTTCAACGCTGAAATCACCATTCTTGAACGTCGAAACCATTCCTTACATGATTTATCAGTTGGAACATTGTCACCATAAACTTCTACAAGCATTCGATGCGCTTCAGCTGCACTTTTCTTCAAATTAAAGCAGAAAACTAAAACCTCCCGCAAATGCTGTTTAGTTAACACAAAATTTGACATATTCAACACAGTAAAAAACAGGGATTTTGTATGAAACTCAAAGCGATATAAACTGAATATTATTGACAGATGTCTAGCCTCTCTGAAACCACCGAAATCAGCTGTCATTATGAAATATTCATAACAGCCAGGACCATCTTTTGAAAACGGACTGAACTAATTTGTACTCCCAATAGAAGAAATATTTTCGTGTACACCATCACAAAACGAGACACGTATTTCGATGAAACGTAAACGGTGTCAAATTTCATATTGTTCTAATAATAAAACGAAGAATATTTGTGGTAATGTAATAAACGAGTCTGTGGTACACGCTCTGCTAAAATAATTGTAACTTATAAAAGATGTCTTTGATCCTTATGTTATGTTTAATTATGTTATGTTTTATTATGTTATATGGTTATGTTATGTTTAATTATTTTTTAAATTATTAGATTATCAACTTATTATTATTATTATGTTTATATTCAATTTTCGTTCATAAAATAGTAAAATATATAAAAACATATAAAATGCTACGTTTTCTCTTAAATGACTTGCTAATTTAAAAACCAAGTCATTTTGACCCCTCGGTAGAAGTAAATATACGTCCATCGGTTGATCT